ACCTGGTACTCAGGTCCAAAGTCCCATGCTATGTCCTTTCCACTTCATACAGATACTTAAGATGCCCGTTATGTTACATTACATATTTTCAAATCCAGAGCGACTTGCATAGCTCATATTTTTAATACTGCATATTTACAGAGGCACTTCCGGCACCTTGCTCAAGGGTAGGATGGTGTTCCCCTTCAATGGGGAGCTGAACCTGCAACCTTTGGTTTAAAAGTCCACATCCTTTCTCACTATACTGCCACTGCTTTTCATGACTTTTTTCCCCCTCAGACTCCTCCCACAGTTTGAAGCTGTGGCGAATCGTGTGTGACGTCTCTGTGATCACATCCTGCTGCACGCCTCCCGCTGTCCTCTGAAGGCCTTGTCTGTCACAGCACAGGGTCGCTGCTCTAAGCCGAGTCAGCACGGTCGCTGACAGTTGCCTGTTTGCCCTACCCGCCCCCTATAGATGAGAAGGGAAACTCAAGCTGGGTGGTCCTCTAGGGTCTGCTATTCATGCCTTAAAGACAAGAGAACTAAACCAAGCGCCCCAGAACAGTGAGCGGAATGACCTTCCGGGGGTCCGGCCGAGGAACACCTCTTTTACCACCCCAGCCAGCTCCCCAGTTGCCATGGCAGCAGCTTTGGCACGGCAGGCCTAACCCCTGGGTCTTATCCGAGTTGATCCGTGACACGAAGCCCCTGGGGAACGGCCCGTTTCATTTTTCCGTTCGCGGGACAGGGCGCACATCTGATACTCCCCGAACAGCATGCCAGCACCGCGTGAGCGAAGCGCAGCGCCACAGAATGACTGATCCAATAACCTATTTCAGAGGGGTGGAAGCAGTGGCGGTCTGGATTCAATCAATCGGCTCCCTCTCGCTCATCCCGCTCCTAATCCGCTGCGGCAAAACATAAAAGCAGATCGTGGAAAAGTGGACAAGATTGTCTTAATCACAACTTGTAAATCTTGCAGCCTTTGAAACTACAACAGTCAAAGGTTTCATTTTTTGCATGCGCTAATGGTATGGTATTAAGTTAAATTGCAGGATTTGGAGCAGGTACCAAAATGAGAAGCTCCCCAGGTTGTCACACTCAGCCCTCAGAAGCACTGATCTACAGTCATGCCCACCACTTAAGGTTGGCTTTGGCAAATTAAATGCAAACATATTTAATTAATCTGTGGCAGACAGTTTTCCAAGGCACATCCAGTGCAGAGAGCAAACTTTCAGGCATTTCTCCCAAAGCCAACACAGCTACAAAAAACCCCTATAATTTATCCATTAGCAGCTTAGGAGGTTTACGGGCAAGACAACAAAAAAAACACATGTTGTGAAATTCACCTTCCAGTGATGGAAACACCAGTAACCAAAAGGAGGAAGGGGATAGGAAGCTCCGTTAAAAACGCAAAGAGTCTGCAAATCTTCGACCAAATTAAAAAGCCGGTCGGTCACTTTAATCCACGAAGGCAAAGTTTAATTCAATTAAACAGTCTCCAAAATTTCATGCTGTTGAAAAAAAGGTTGCTTTCTTGCTTTTAACGATTAGCTCATTCTGAGTTAATTAAGAGACTCTTCATTCTCCTCCTGGTCGTCTCCCAGTAGCAGCAGTGTGGGCCTTTCCCTCAGTGGTAGAAACCCTTATGTTACCGGCAGGTGTGTATCTTGCATTAAGTACGTACTTGTAACTAGATAAAAACAGACCTACTTTTGGCCATTAAAAGCACAACCACTTACATCAGAAGAGACGACACAAAAAAGGTTTTCGCACGGAAGAGGAAATTGCCACTTAGAGTGACTAATCACATCTGCAGTTACGGGGAAAGGATGTTCAAAGGAATGGCTGTGCGCAGGGAAGGTTTCTCACGTGTCTCATCAAGAACGGCGCAGGGGGCGTGTGTCAGCCTAATCTGAGCGCTACTGTCCTCCTTAGCATCAGGAGCCCTGAGGGACGAACTCCGATAGAGGTGTGTTTTGATTGATATTCAGCTTCATTTAGGTTAAATCAAGGAGATGGACTGGTACCTCCTGGTGCCTCAGCAAGGCCATTCTGAAGAGTGCAGGTGAGGTGAAGGCATAGGTGCGCAGGATTATGTCAGAACACAGTTTAGTCAAGTGGATAATTACCAGCTTGGTGAGGCCTCACTGATAACCGTAAGAGAGTCATGTGGTTACAATACCATAGAATGATTACATGTTATACTATTGTAACATACCATTATTGTCACCACAAACAACAAATAGCACTTATCCACAGGTAAACATGCTTGTATGTCGCCAATTCAATTGCAAGAGACTGCATCACAGTACGATAGCAATTTTTGACTAATATGACACAGAGAACCAGAGAGGCCAAAGCCTTGACAATCCCTCCCTCCCTTGCTCTGAGATGGGCAAACGGAGAAGTAGTTAGAAAAGTAAAATTACAGTACCACTTGTCACCTGGGTCTTGGAAATGACATTTCCAGACGGACAGCGCAGACCAAAATTATAACAAAACTCGCAAATACGTTTTCTTTGGCGACCGCACCGGCGCTTAAAATAAGTCTGCACTGAATCACAAGGGACGTGGAAGCAATAATCGAGGCCGGACCGGCGTGATCAATTTTCACTCAAATTTCGGAGGCGTATTTTAGCGGCTAAAAAGCTGGCACCGTGTCGCTCGCTCGAGAAGCAGATTTCGCGATTGTTCCGCGCATGACTCAACGGCCGCACGGAACAAGCGAGAGCTGCCGCGGTTCGAGCGACGAGAAGCCTCTCGTCAACCAAAACAGGAAGCTGGCGCTCCACAATTGGTTTCCCCAAGAACTGAGAGAAACACTTAATCAGACGCCGGTTGGAAATGACGGTTTTGAAAGGCACGTTAATCGCCTTCCTGTAGGCAAACCCCAGTCGAACTGCCAGTGCACAGGCAACGTGTGCTCGGCTTTTAGGACTGGCACTTGTCGACGGCCCAGCAAAATTGTTTCCTCCGTAGAGGCGGCTGCGCAGAAATTCTGAGGCACTGCTCATCATGCATCATGCATGCAGGAAAGAAGAATAAGTATGTGTCGCTATTCTTAGAAAAGAAGAATAACTGCGTTAAAACATTAATAAAATTCAATACCGCGGTGTTTATGAGTGGAACTGAAGCTAAAGCAGTCGTTCTGCTCTGAGGTTTACATACGTGTGTTCTGAGCAGTTCACAGATCACACAGGGGAAGTGAAGCCATTACTACCATGGTATTAGTGGTAAAAATACGGGGGGGGGGGGGGGGGTGAACAGGAAGTTAAAAAAACTGCTAAAATGATGACAGAGAGCAAAAAAAGACCCAAGATGCTTTTCATTCCTCCTCCATGATACAGCATGTCTCTGGCCTACCCTGCAGAGAGGCTTGCTGTCATTCTGCTGTTGAAGTGAAGGCACAGCTATGTGGCTAGGCTGCTTCTCCACCTCAGCACAGACAAGTAGGTGGAAACAAACCCCCTCTCCCCACTCCCTGTTCCCTTTCCCCCCAAACTTTCCATCTCCCTCTTTTCCCCCCCTCCAAAACCTTGGCCCTCTGGAGGTGGAGCCGGGTGAGGTGACAGGAAAAAGAAATGTGGAAAAAAATGTGACACCTTGTCATTAAATGTCGTCAAATTAATGCTTTGTTACAGAGCAAGTGGGCTGGGGAGGTGTAATTACACCCTTTGTCTTTTACGGTCCTGGTTATATCCCCTGTTAGACAGAGGGATGGGCCTCAACTGCACGTGGAATCAGCCTGCAATTGGCAGCTTGTGCAACCCTGCAAACTCCATCCCTGTTCTGCAGACACACAACACACTCTGCAGAAGCTGCAGCCACACAGGTGCATGGAGGAACACACATGCTTATACGTACATGTCTTTATGGGGAATCACTTTAGAGGCACATTACCTGGTGACTGATCCCTGGTGCCCTCTCCCCAGCGTGTTAGCACTCACTGACCACTGGAGCCTCTTTGGACTTCTTTTACATTTCACACAGAGAGCTTTGCGAGACGTGCCAAGGCCACCATCATCATTTCAATGGTTATCTCCCTGCACTTGCTGCCAGGGTGAGTTTCGCCATCTCAGCTCCTGAAATAGAATCTTTGCAGGCTGCCCACCAACACACGCTGGGCAATATCAGGTGTCCCTCCGCTGCACCCCCAGTGAGAAAACACATTTCATTTGTTAGCGTGACTGAGGCCCTTAAGTGCATGATGCAAAAAAAGGCAAAAAAAAAAACATGATATCCCTTTTCAGAAGGAGCAGCCATCACTGAGAGGTTCGGGATCAGCAGCTGTGTGTGGCTGGCCTGTTCAGCGTGGCATTCATTTTCAAGCTTCCTGAGCCAGCAGGGATAGGAAAGCAGCTTGACCACCAAATTTGCACGATTAAATATAAACCATGTTAAACCAGCTCTGGGGGGGAAAAAAAAAGAGAGAGAAAGAAAGGTTAAGGGAGGCCCTTCGTAGTGAAGGAGGCGGAACGGCAGGACGCAGCGAAGACGAGGAAAGGGTTACTTCGGCTTTAGCACAAAGGACTTCTTGTCCCCGGTCTAAGACACATAGGCATAGTTTGAAACTCTAACCCCATCTGAGATTTGGCAGGCGTGCGACCGCTCTCAAAAGAAATTAGGATTGAGCGCCGGGTTCACGAGAGGATAGGGCAGATGCTTGTGATTTTGATTAGCCCTGTTCTGGCATGTTTGTTTACTGGCATGAGGAAGACCTACGGCATCAACCACAGCACACTTCACTACACACCCTGTTGGGCTCATTCAGGGCCCACTGACAAAGCGAACGCTCCGCCAGCACCACCACCGAGGCCCACAGCTTGACCCAGGGCAGCACATGGACTGGATCAGATCTAGCTCTTTATGTCCTCCATTACATTATCGCCATTTAGCAGATGCTCTTATCCAGAGTGACTTACATTGGTTACACATTTACATGTTATCCATTTATGCAGCTGGATATTTACTGAGGCAATTCTGGGTTAGGTACCTTGCCCAAGGATACAGCATCAGTGCCCCGGGGAGAATCGAACCAACAACCTTACGGTTACGAGCCCTGCTCCTCACCACTACGCTACACTGCAGCCCATTAGCGGGGTATATCTGACTGTCTACCTGCCTACCCAACAGTGTGACTGCCTGTGAGACCTCTGACAGAGCAAAGTATTCTCACTGTTTAAAAAAAAAAAACCACACAGAAAACAGCGCAGGCTCATTCACAATAATATGCACATGAAGTGTCACCCATCACTGAATACGCGCTGCCTACGGAAAGGTCAGCACAAGGAGGATAAATATGGGGCGGCTTATGGCAGGATGACGTAAAGAAAGCCAGACAGAGGGAAGCGAAAGACAACCAAAAGAGGTAGCACGCTGCAGTGTGCAACACATCCCACCTGCTCGGAGCTCCTGATGTGCAGTGCTGCAGTCCCTCATTACGGAGTGTCCAGGCTGTGACTTCTCCCCCAGGTGAAAGATACTGACTTTCTTTAGAAGGCTAGAAATGCATCCCTCAAGGGCTTTTAAGCAAACGTAAACCCAGGCTGCCCACCCAGGATTCCAGCCAGGGTTCTGGAGGCTTTTAAACGCCAAGACGCTCCAAGGTATTCTCCCCAACAGCAAGATCTGGGCCTGCTTTTTTTTAATTATACTCCATATAAATTGAAAGGACATTTAATATCAAAGCTGGGGTTCATCCACCAAGTGGACTCTTCAGCCTCAGCTTGTATTTATTTATGTTCCAAATGAAAAGTTGTAAACATTTATTTGCTTGTTTTTGGGCTAATTTTAGAATCCTCCCTGGAGAAGGCTGAATAAAAAAAAAAAAAAAAAAGAAACAGTGGGACACATACATTTCACTAGAGGCCACAGGATATCTAGAAATACATGAGGTTAGCCACACATACGAATGTCTGAAATGCAGAGAAAAACTTATGCTTAATTATATTTTTCTTCTCCTCCTCAAACAGATTTGCTGCAAAGTTCTCTATTTTTACAGAGAAGTCAGAAAGATATATGACATTCTTCCTTGAAGAGTATATATAAATATATAATATAGACATTATTTATATACTGTATATTGCACACACTCACACACACATATATACACATACATACATACATATAAACGCGTGTGTGTGTGCGCGCGCGTGTGTACTATAAACACATATAAACTCCTGAGCCAAAATCTCATCCAAATTTCTGATGCTTAATGATATTTACTGACTGACTTGCTGCATGAGCAGCCAATTAGCACCAATTGGAAAATAAAGGTCAACAATCAGATCAATAGTTCCTTCCCCAGCAAGGTCTTTAATTATTGAGATTGCATAAGGTACCCTCCTGGTGTGCAGACGTTCACGTCTGTTCCCGTGAGCACACCCTCATCAGAGACCGTCAGGTCTCAGAGCTGCCTTTCAATCAGCCGCTGATTAACACCCTGAACACCAGGAGGGCTGACTTAAATCACATTCCGTCACTTGAAGTGCACGGGAAGCACCTTTCCACTGCGGGAGTGTGTGTCTGTTGCATTATATAACAATCTGGCGCTGTTTTCCCAGGAACTGTGGCCTGTGGATCGGATCAAATTCCCAAAACATCTACACAGACATGCAAATCATATGACTCATCTCCCTCACAGGCGGGAGATGTCCTTTAACCCAAGACAATTGGGCCTGTAAGTCTACGTGCTGCAAGAGGCCCTGTTTTTATGGTCATACATTTTCCCCCAGGGTAGCGCAGGCTTCACAAAAACTACAAATCACAGTCAGGCTTTCCACAATAGCCACGTTTGCTCTTCGATGAAAGACACTCGAAACCGTGGAGATATGACTCATTTTCACTGTACACAGTGTGGATTTCTCAATTCATTTTAGTCAACTGGAGCCCCAGAATTCTAAAGACTGATTACTGCACAAATAAAAACTTGCGTCATTTCTTGTTGAAGACACTGCTGCGTTTCAAAGTTGAACACATAAGAATCACATAAAAAGAATGTCTTTACCACACCTAAACTCCACGGTACAAATTCCATACAAAAAGCAGTAAAAATAACTTTACAAAAAAAAACTTGTTGCTCTTTTTAAAGACAAAAAATGTCAAGAAAATCATCACTCTACTGCTATGAAATCCCTCTTCTCGTAAACACCCACTGAGTTAAAGCCCTCCCCCAAAAAAACCTATACAACCAACACACATCTTCCTCAGCACTATAATAAAACACCTACACCATGTTTAGCAGCGTACTGCTCTATGCCATAGCAAGCCTGTTGTACAGACAGGTCTGAGCCTGACAGCAGGAAGACGGGGGCTGAACACTTCCTGTTGGTTTGGCTGGGCCAAAAAAAAAAAAAAAAAGCACATTATCAGGATATATTTCTGAGCATTGGTGGGAAAGAATTACAGTGCCACATTAAACTGTCCAGGACTATCGATGGAGGAAATAAAAGAACTCAGTCCACAATGATATCTCAACGAGCCGCCCCTGCCTTTTCCACCAGATCCGTAGTGATCAGCTCTGACTCAAACAGGGAATGGTTGGTGAGGTCTTGTTCTCTCCAACCTCCGCCACGTGGTCAGCGACAACACGCGTCAGGCATAGCGAGGTACAAGCTCTCCAGGGTGACACGGAAGCCGCTTATGGACCTGCCTCGCGGAGCCCACAGGAAGCATGCTTTCATCTTCCTGAGCGTGAGTGCACCAAACCGATAAGGGAGAAAAGGCACCGCAGACCCTTTCCTTCTGAGGGGGGCCAACGGATTCAAACACAGGAGCAGGGAGCCGTGCGTGAGACAGTGCTGTCCTGTCATGTGACCTGCAAGAGATGAGCTGTCTTTTTGCCCCCTGCTTCTGAATACAGTTTGCCAGCCACGGTTTGGAAGATGGTTTTCAGTGGAAGGAAGAGGGATCTTATGGGAAAACAATCCAAGACTGTCTTTCCGAACTCTGGTTGTCATGGTTGCTGCATAATGTGCCTGGCCTAGTCACAGGCCAAAGCTTTGTACGAATGGGCATTAATATCAAACTGTGTCTGTATTTTAATTCTGAGAGCATTAAATGGATATTTCCTTAGGCCCAGATCCAGCCTTATAATGATATACTTCAACTTTCACTTTTAGTAACAAACCGACGCTTTGTTTTTCTTCTTCCATGTCAGAATTTTATTACTTTTAATGAGTGGCAAACTCAACGTTGTGTAAGCAACCAAAATGTAAAACATGCTAAATTTTGTTTTTGAATGTTGCAGGAGAAAGCCTTCCATGTAAACCCCATCTTTGCTGTTAAAAAAGTAAATAAGTACACCCAGGAGTCGCTTGTAATTCAGCAAACATCTATATGCCAGCTTTCACTTCAATAACCATACATCACAATGAGAGTGTGTCTGTGTTAGAGCGATGGTGGCAAGAAAATATCGATTTTCTACAACATTCTCAACAGGATGCCGGCAGTTTAACTACTGCCAACCTAGCAGTCAGCAGAGCGGCCGACAGGAAAGGACAGCTCTGCGGCTGAAGGCCCACATGAGTCGGGGGTGTTTGGTGAAAAAACTAACCCTCGCACGACAGATAATCTCTCTCGGCATCTTAATGCCAATGCAGAGAAGGCAGGTCTCAGCTGGTGATGGTCTGCTGCCCTTCTTCGAGGGGGACACACCCACGGCGAATTTTTTCCGCTGCACCGCCAAGATAACACGGGCGCGCATCACGGGAGCCAGGTTATCGCAGCGCGGCGGCGCCGGGGAAAGAGCCGCCGACGTCCTTGAGAGGAATAAAAGTCTCTCCGCTCGGCGGGGCCGCTCCTGTGTAATTTATATCAGCGCTGGGATCCCTCCGCCGGTCTCATCTGTGGCCCGTCACCGGAGTCATATCACTCCAGCCCCTCCAATCTCAGACACAGATTTACTGCCTCCCCGTTTCAGAGCAGAGCACAGCCATTCGTCAGCAGTCTTCCAGGGGTAAACATGGCGTCTCTTCATGTACGTAAACGTGACAAAGTTGCAGACCTCAGCTCATCCTGAGGTCATTCACATGGACAATGTGCAGCCATTCCCTACACAGACATTCTATTTATTATGACCAGATATTAAGCTCTGTGTGCTTCACATTGAGCTGTTCTGTCTCTGCCATTGTTGAAGTGTTATGATTTGCTGGCTTGTTATTGTTATTCTTGAACAGGGTTTGGTCTAAAATGGAACATCCACAGCCCGCAAAGGAACCCTGACAGAACCAGAACTTCTGGTTACCAACCGGAACCTCCAAGAAGGAGGACAAAGAAGAACACCAGAGCTGAATATCTGGACATAATAAATACAACATCAGTAGTACTCTGTCAGGGTCCCACCTTCCCTGTAATGCCACATCATAACTGCACATAACCATGACAAGTTGTGTTTAACAGTCAGCTTTGCTAATGGGCTACTTCATGGACGCTTTTTTCCCCCCAATTTAATTCCTCACACTGCACAGCGTTCATCGTCTTAAGCCTTCCACCACTGTGGGATACAAAAAACATGCCACACTCAAAGCCGAAGCCTGTAGAGAACTCATCGACATAAGTGGAAGCTCCTTTGTTTTAGTCATCTGTGATGAACTCCCCTCTACTGTAATTAAAACTTACATCAATGCAAATTAAAGCTCGCAGAGACTTGAGTCACAAGGGTGGTTTTATAAAGTAGTCTATAATAAAGGGTAGGAGTACCACTTCTGCTCAGCTCTCCCCACTAAAACCACATTTACTGCTGGCTTTGATGCCCTCCCTTTATACAGCATTTTGCCAATTTATAAGCCTAAAAACAAATGTGGCATTAGAATTTCTGAAGTAAAATGCTTTTGTCTACACGTGGTGAAGGGAAAACTATAACTCTTGCTAAACAAGGCCACAAAATGAAATGGCCCCATTTGTATCAGTTTTTATGCATAAACCGAACTGTGCACTTAGCAAAGGACCTATCACAGCTTCCTCAGAGCAAACAACTGCCGGGGGGCCATTCCGAGGCGCACTTAAGGATTGGAAATGTGCTGTTAAGCATCAGCTGGTAGTTTGCACATTAGCTGTAAATGACCGTAGTTTGTGTGGGAAAAAACGT